CAGCTAAAATAGCGAAAATAAATTCCAAGCGAAAATAAAGTATTCTACAGTAGTTATATTCAAAATATAAAGCTGATCGGTTAAAGCACTCATGAGAAACAAATAAATCAAAGATGGCAGCAAAATCATGCAACTAAATTAAATAATTGAATGAAGTTCGGTTGAGAGATGCAACTTGGGAATCCAAGAAATCCAATATGGTGGCAAACCATGTGACCACCCCCCCCCAATTCTCAAACTTGAATGTGCTTCATACATAGGCGCTAAAAAACAATTTTTAGTTAATATGTTTTGAAATTTTTCAGGGGAAAAACATGGCAGAAAAAGTCACATGATTCCTAAAGTTTCTATTCATGAAATAAGTAGCCAATATTCCAACAAAAAAGTCAGATTGCCTAGACCTCAGAAAGGGTTCAAAATGGCCACTTTCGGTTTAACTTCAAAGATGAACCAATTGAGCAATCAAAATTAGGAAGTCAGAGAAACATAAGGGCCTATCATTATAGAAAATTTCAGATCATTTCATTCAGCTGTTTTCTCAAGATGACTTGACAGAAAAAAGGCAGGAGAAGAAAAAGAAGAATGAAAAAACTTAAAAATAAAAGGGTTCAACTGACTTGAACGCTAAAAAAAATATATTTTTCATCCATTTTAATAGTGGACACTATTTTTGGCACTTCACACATCTGACTTTTGGAAAAAGAAGGGGGTTTCTGTTTGGAATTTCCAAACTTAATCTCCATTGAAATGAGCATGGATTTCTTTCCATTTGTACTTCACTCTTCATTTGATTCAAGCTCAGGAAAATACCAAGAACTGATACTCAAAGTTTTCCTAGTTACTAAATCAGAATAAGCTTACGGATTTCAAGAGTGATTATTTTTCCTGAGTCTATTATTTTGCAAACTCATTTTGTTCAGACTTACCTGGAATCTGCGAGTTGGAGACATTTACTTTATTTGTCTGTTTTTTGATTATGTTATCATGAAGAGACGAGAAGTCATTTTCAGATCCTAAACAACTAAATTAAATAAAAAAGACATTCATAGTTTAACAAATAAAAAATAATTTTGATTTTCTAAATGAACAGAGACATATGCAAATTTTGTTTTACATAACTTACATACAAATACAAAAATGTAAATGATATGCAAATGGAATACTGTAAAATGACTAATTTTTACTGGGTTTAAATTTCACTGATTTACCAATTTCAGGCATTTACTGTGGGTTTTAAATTCACGGTTTCGTCATTTAGATAATGTGTTTTATGCTAAGTTTTACATATTCACTGGGTTTTAATTTAGCGCATTTTTCCATTCAGCGAAATAAGCTAAATTAAAACCCAGTGAATAATTACTCCCTTTACAGTATTATATAATTTACATACCTGCAATTGATATGCAAAAATGTAATCAATATGCAAATTTTGGATTACAATGTACATACATGAAAATTATATGCAAATATGTTATATGATCACAATAAATACATTTATATTAAAACTCACCAATAAACTTTAATGAAATATTGTTTAAGTTCATCATCATACTGATCTGTATGTGCTGATAAGATATCACTAATACTTATAGCTGTGGAAAACAATAACAGAGACAAAACTATGAAATGACTGACATGAGGATAATATGAATAGTCAACTATGTAAATCAATGAATACACTAATACTTATAGCTGTGGAAAACAATAACAGAGACAAAACTATGAAATGACTGACATGAGGATAATATGAATAGTCAACTATGTAAATCAATGAATACACTAATCACTGATTATTTTGTCTTTCGTATTTCCGGTAAATCTATGTTAATCTATGTGATCAATTATTAAAAAAAATTTTAACTTAGTGAAATTAATGAATTAATTATATTTTGGGTTGATACGTGCTATCATTGAAGATGTGCCTATTCTATTCTAAGAACGTCACAAACAGAAAGTTGATCAAATCAAAGTAGACAAATTGCGCCCTCATGAGGCCAAACAGAATTACTTTTGTTTAATCAAAAGGAAAATGAACCAGGCATACAGTTCTAAGGCAGACAGACAGACAGCTAAAACATACTGTCATTACAACAGAATAGATAAGCATGAAAAAACTACCTCCACAACCGTACGGCCGTCTGTATACCTGGTCACTCTTCTTTTTCTCATTTTCTTTGTATAACATTCTCCCAACTCGTATTACTTGCACAACCAAGTACAAATCACGGGACAAGTCATCTGCACCAAGATCCTGAAAACGATATTATAATTTCAAACATACCTTAATATCTTACTGAAACTAAAAGTTAGCAAAGAACAAGTTCAGCTGGATATTTTATATGGTTCTGAAAACAAGCGCCCTCTACAGTTCCAGTAGTTTTTGATTAATTCACTCATACTCACTGTGAATATTGCAGTAAGATTGGTTGGTCGCACTTCGTTTTTGTTTTTCTTAGTCAGGAAACGTTCACTGGAGTAAAACATAGTAAAACCATTAGACCATTGTTTATTTTATCATACCCAGGCACGAGATGTACATACTTGAGTGAAAGACATTCCTGGTCAAAGTTGACGGCACACTTTATGAACATGGAAAACTTTAATTATGTAATTATTAAGTAATTAATTATCTACAATGCAAGTATACGCTACTAATGATGCAACAGAATTCTGAAATTATTATTAATGCATCAGTTATAGTGCTCATGAATATCATTGCCTTTGATGGCCAGGCCTTGGTGCCCTTTCAAAACTGTGATTACTGTATTTCCTCTATTAGAAGCGCATCTCTATAATATATGTGAGATCACTAAAAATACAACTTATTTTGACTATAGACAGACACCTCTGCCATTAGAATATTAAACAGCATGTGTTAACAATAAAGCATATTCGGTAAATCAAGGCATTGTCATAAAACAGACTGAAGTTCAAGCACGATTATTATTATGGTACATTGATAAAACCAAAATATGATTATTAATTAATATTACCTGATAAATATGGATTGTTTTGCATCATATAATGACAGGAATATCTCAGCGTCTTCTCCGATGTGACATTCAAACTTCTCAAGTACACAGTATAAATGATGAATGGGAATGGCTTCTTTCTTTTTCTTCTTCCGAACAGTGCCTTTTAACTGCAGAACACATTGTAAAACATGCATCTTTTTTGGAAAATTTCGGAGGCATTCTACGTTAAACTCTAGTCAGTCACTTTAATGTTGGCATAATTATATATTTCTGATGCAACAAACAAAATATATTCTACTTACTGATGAACTCTGGGTCTCTTCTCTGCTTCTAAGATGCTGTGAAAGAAACAACACCATTAAAACTTTACGATACAATCTTATAGTTTCACGACTAACATACACGGAAATGAAGCGGGGCATGGGTGATTGTTCCACTAACAATACACTGAGTATAAATCGCATAAAAGCTGTTCTCCATCAACGGAGCATAACCAGACACCTTTTATAGCTATAAAACTGAATCCAAAATCTAAAGTTACAAAGTGGTGAAAAAAAAGATCATTTGATAAGGCAGTAGTTTTATATGTTGCTACCGAATATGTACAACAACCACTACTCGTGTCAATGGCGCATTAATCAATGAAATGTAAACAGTAGGGATATAAATGAACATTCAGGAACAAAAGTAGCATGGCATATGTCAATTGGTCAACTCCCACCCTAAGAGTGCCTTTTTATCCACCCTCAGACAACAACCCTATTATTCAATAGTGAGGATAACATTTCACGTCAGTGTACGAAATAAAAAATCAAATTCCTACCACTTTGAACAACTCCACAACACTGGTGTTATCCAAATCGACAGTCTCGTAATCAATTCTCGGGACCAAGTCTAGTCCCATCTGACTGTTACCCCAGTCTATTTTGGATGTAGCTTTCTTTTTCATTTCTATGATCTGTTCTTGCGTTCTGTCTCCTGACACAAACTGTCTTCGTAAATCGATGAGTTCCATCATGACCTGCCGTATCATTGTAAATGATCCATGTTTCAATGTACTTGTGTCTTTACCCTGAGAATCAAGATTTTATACAGATTAGAAGTTCGGAAGTTGCTCGGGTATAAAACACCACAAATAGGATTCCCT